GTTTTAATAACGTCAATTACGGTGCTGGGCATGGTTACAAACATTTGCTTGGTTCTTCTGTTGCTAGTTGCCTGCTTGTTTAAGCTTGTTCGAAATTACAATATAGAAAATGGCTTGACGGCTTTATCTGACCTCCGTTTTTGGTACTCTAATAGAGCATGCTCTTTCAACCAATGACAGCGCGGGTAATATCTGAACTTTATAATAACTGGTTTTAAATTAACATTTAAATAGATTTTTGAAGTCCAATAAGGAAATCCTGAGAAACATTAAAGGTTAAGTGCTGCGACATTACTAAAGTGCAATTTTGTATGGCACTCAAAACTTAAAAAAATATTTGAGGATCGACCTCCTTAAAATGAGTTTTCGAAAATATAGCCTCAATAAAAAGAGATTAATATATATTACACCGAGATATCATGAAAAAAAGAAATTTTTTTGGTGTTTTTAAAAAATAACTGAAGGTGACAATCTTTTAAATAAACAGAGGTTTATCAGCGATACATTTGCTGCATTTTTATGAGAGGGAAATTGCTTTGCTTTTCCTCCACCACGTTCTAGAGAATTCGGGTTAATTCATTGACCACTGAAATGCGACACCATAATCAATCTGAACTTGACTTCAAATCTGAATCTACTATTTCTTGCTCTCGCTTAACTTAAGAGTTGAATCACCATGATGCAAATGCTACATATAACAAAGGTTGTCTGTCATTATTTACCTAGGTTTTACTGGACACTTTTTTTTCCAAACCGAACGTAACCTTGCAAGCTGAAAAACATGTCTGAATCACCTTAACATGATCCTCTTGGTCGCTCCAGAACTGAAATTAAAGTGGAAGTGACAGTGGCAGCTCTCGTCCTGCTCTCAGCTATGTCTGGTAACGTGCTGGTTGTTTATGTTATCTACAGAGATTCCAGGCTCCACAAGGTGACTTACATGTTTATTCATAATCTAGCATTGACTGACATCGCCATGGCAATGGCAAGTATGCCATTCTGGATAGCGAGTCTGTCTACGGGAACTTGGAAATTCGGCCAAGTTTGGTGTCAGGTGGCAGGATCAACATCACATATTTTGGCATGTGCCTCTATATTCACGATAGCATTGATAGCATTCAATAGATACATAAAAGTCGTAAAACCCACCCTGTACAGAAAAGTATTTCCCAGCAAAAGAGCAGCTCGGTTGTATTGTGTTTTGGTTTGGCTGATTTCCATTTTTCTGGCAATGCCTTTTCTTTTTGGATGGTTAGGTGTATCATTTCATGAGAAACTTGTTATTTGTGTCCCAGAGAACAATGTATACAAAAACACTAGTACAGGAGTGATTGTCAACGGACTTACGATCATGATATTTTACTGTAACTTCAAAATCTATAAAGCTGTCAGAGAAAGCACGAGAAATTTAAACGCTCACGCTGAAGGAAACGGAGTCCGCTCCGGAAATGATTCTCGCCGCACCAATATGACTGACGTGAGTGTTTTAAAGACATGTTTCGCCGTAGCCTGTTTCTTTGTGGTAACATGGTCTCCAATCTCCATTATCGCCGTCA